CCCCCCCCCCCCCCCCCCCCCCCCCCGGGAACAAAAAAAGCTTCATAAAACCCACTTGAACATAAAAATTCTAATTAGGATATACCTCAGCTATAGAGTATAAACAATAGTAAGTGACTAGAATATTTTATATTTTTTATATGCGTATTTTTTTTATACTTTAGGTCGTACAACTTACTTTATAGTGCTAATGTCTTGCTTTTATACATTTAACACAGAGAAACAAAAGAGCCAATGGACTGGACTACCTTGTCTTGGCCCTGCCCTCAGATGGTCCAGGCCAATGGGCTGAGATGGACCCCAAATTTTCACATGAACTGGGCCCAACATGGCTGGGCATAAAAAGGGGTATAGTCGGGCTGCTCCACACGCATTTTGGAGGCCCGGCCTATTTGACACCACTTTGCTAACCTATTTTTTAGAGCCTAGCTAAATAGCTCTGTGGTTGTCAAATATCATTATATTTTGCAATTTGTTCCTGAGTTGTGATTGGTTATAAACATCTATAGTTTATTTTGGTTTGCAAATTTCTTCCTTTGTTTTTATTTTTATTTTACTTTTCTTGTTTTGGTTAGGGTAGGGGGAAAGGATGGTGGGTAATTAAGTTTTCCTGTCATTTTCATGGAGGAAGTAACGGTTGGGGTTCAAGTTGTGGTTTATGCATTTGGTGCTCCTTCCATTATTGGGTACATCTACTTAGATTGTAATCAGCTTACTGGTTCATCATGGGATTTGATTTGCTCATTTTTGCTCGTTGGAATTGCTTTTGGAAGGGAGTTGTGTTTTCAAAATGTGAGTTTGACTGTTCTGATGGTGGGTTTGACAATAATACCAAAGAAGAAACGAAAGAAAAATGATGAACAACTTTTACTTAGTCAAATCACTGGTTTGAATTGCATTGTTTTTGGTTCAATCCATATCCCTTCGCTTATTCTGCCATTCAGTTCAAAGAGGAAGATTAGTTAGCTAACCATTTGTATATATCAAGTTGTGTCTTTATTTCCTGCTGAAACGGAATTCTGTAGCTCATGTAGGAACAACTGGATAAGGCTACTCTTGCCTCACGTGTGCACACGTGTATGTGTGCAACAGTCAGATGTCAAAAATATATTAGTTTGTGACAGTTGTTCAAGGCACTTGGCCTCAGTAACCTTTCTGAGAAGTCATTGACATAAATAAGAAACCTAAGAATGCTAGACCTAAGAAACAATATACAAAGGAATGGTGAACAAGGGTAGAATCCGTCTTGTTTTTTCTTATTACTGGATATTGCAGACCGTAAATTTGTTAAGAATCATTTTGGTGTGTTTTATCATGTTGGATTGCTCAGGTGCGATTGTTTTAAAGAAACAAATGTTATTCAAGTTTTCCGGAAAGTGTTAAATGTTAATGATTCTCTTGTTTGGCTATGCATGCTTGTTATAATTTCTCTGAATTACTCTTTTTGGTAATTTGGATGGATGGTAGCTTTATTTAAGCAGCTTTTTTGCTTTTCAAGAACTCTTGTTTGTGCAATTCATGCAATCCATGTACACATTTTGATCTAATATTTCAATTGTGTTTCAGCAGTATTTGATTAAATTTTTGGTATCAACTTGTTTTGGCAGGGGCAGGGAGGGAGGCAGGACACTGCATCTGTTTGTAAAGAAAGGATCTTTATGTAAAATATATTCAAAGTAAGTGCAAGAGTATACTTCAGTATTTGCTTATGAATAAAATTGCTAAATTTTGATTTTTGAATTTGGTTTGTAACTTGGGTATATTTCGTGAGAAGTTTTCTTTTCAAATACAAATGCTCTGATTAATGCTCGTGCCTCCACTCTACTGTGATCAAGTTATTGAGGATGACTGTCAAAATACATGGGGGATGTCGATCAATATTATTATTATTATTATTTTAAATTTATGGACAGTTCATTTATAAACATTTTATATACTTCAATTTGTAGCACCACTTTTGAATTACTCGATCTTAAGTCCCTCCATAAGGATCTGTTTGGAAGTTTCGGCATAGTGGTTATGAGTGTTTTTTAAAGTGTTGGATTTGAATGTTTATGAGTGGATTGGTTTTGAGTGGTTTTAGTAACGGTTTTTAAAACTGTTCAATCTATGGTTTGGAGTTTATTATCCATCCTATCTAGAAGTATTTTTAAAGAACAAAAATGAATATATAAACAATTTTTATTTATTTATTTATTTTTCCATAAGGTGATTTTTACTTATAGGTAATTTTTAGTTGTAATATAATTTTTTTAATCTTATAAATTATATTTTAATTATATGTAAAACTTAAAGTGAATATGAGAAAAGGACAAAATTCGTCAATTTGGTCAATAATGAGAATCGGTCAAAATTGCACTTCACTAATTTTGAGTGATTTTTTTTTTTTTTTTTTTTTGGTATAATTTAATTTGTATTACTATTTCCGATTTACTCGATCTTATGTCCCTCCTTTAGGGTGATTAAAGTGGTAATGTGATGTCAAAGGCTAATCAGTGGCGAAGCATTCAGAGTTTACGGATTGATTAAGCTATCCTTGGCCTGGGTCTTGACTATTTTCTTAAAAAAAAAAAAGGGGTTGAACCCCAACTTTGAGGACCCCCCACCGTCCCATCTCTAGAACTTTGTAAGGGAGATAAATCGCGGGATGTGCCTTAACATGTTAGGGAACAAGAGCTGCTTGTACACTGCACCTATAAGGAGTCTAATTCCATGTCTCAGGAATCGAACCTCCACACTTCGGCTACCAGCAAGGCATGAATAACTTCACTTCTGTCCTTTGCACCACTAGGCTATGCCTGAGGGGCGGGTCTTGACTATTTTCTTATTTGGTCGAGATGAGGTTAATGTATGCACTGTGTTGTGAAAATTTTTTTATTACAAGATAACGATATAGTGAACAAGTATTAAAGTGAACGTATGAATTCTAATCATCGTTCCTAGAAAGATTACTATTTAACTGAAGGTTTAACTATTCATAACTCCTATTTCAATAAATTTGTCCTTGATGACGATTTTTTTCCATGTACATATATTTCGTTTAGATAAAGACTTCTTGTCCACTATATTTTTAAATAAGCAATTTTCCCATCATATTTTCAAAAACTAAATAGATAAAATTCTAAAAAAAAAAAAATTCTCTCATTTCAAAGCTTGAAAATAAAATATTTTGATATAAATTATCATAAACAACGAAATGTACTAATTTTTAATGCAGGGATGAAGATAAGAATTGAATTCAACGAAAAAACATAAGGAAATAATTGCTACAATGAGCAAAAATTGAGGAAATTAATTATACTTAAAATATGGTGTAACAAGCAAAAATTATAATGTCAGTATAACAACCCATAAACAATTTCATTTTGATATTGAAGAATTCTAGTTGAATTAAATGATAGATTGGCCCTTCCCTTTAAATAAACAAAAGTAATAGAAAAGCAGTAAAACGACCCAAAAAAAAAAAAATGAAGAAAATTATAAATAAAGTCTCATAACTTTTCAAAAAGAACAAATAAATTTGACTTAAGACAATTAAATACATGGTATGAACGGTTTAGTATATAGAACTATCTGAAGTGTGGAGTGGCAACACCTAACCTCTTTTATTTTATTTTATTTTTCCAGATCCACCTCTATTTATAAGATAGTAAGAGACTCGTATGTCTACTGACTGTTAGTGATACTTAAAGATGGTGGGTGATCGGTGGGTGATCGCCAACTTAGTGAAATGGTTGCAATGTCATCAACAAACTATTCTAGTGTGACATTGTTCTTAATAATGAATTCCGCCTATTCAATTGTTACGATGTCAATTTTGTTAAAAAGATTATTATACATGTTGGGTTTTGATACGCCATAAACCCGGGAGATGATGTAAAATATCGAAATATATTTTCACAGGCCTTGCCCAATGGTGAATTGATTATAATCGTACATTTATACATATAATCGCTTATGAACCATTTTTAAGTATTAGTAGCAAAATCCTTCTAATTGAACTTTGTTATACGTACGTCAAGGTTTATATAAAGGATTATATAATATCACTTATTTGCAAGTTTAAATTACAATCAACTTTTTTATCCAAAATTTTTCCTCAACATAATTTTCAGTAACTGCTTATCTACCATTCTTACGTACAAGTAGCAAAATTCCTCCAATTTTATGTAGAGTCTATGTTTCTCTCAAGTCTTAGCAATATCTTTACTTTCATACTGTGGCATGATTACACATTGTTAGTAACAAGAAAATCAAAATTAAAATAAGAAAAGATGAAAAGTAGGTTAATTTGAAGAAACCCATACCTCAAAAATATTGATTTGTGAATGATTAATCATACTTCCACATAAGGAGTTATATAACGGTTTATATATAGATGAAGTATCAAAAAGAGAGAAATTTTTATTTTATTTTTTTGGGAAGAAGTTTTGACCCAATCATATTTCATCACACCATATGTATATAAATATTATGTAAACATATTATGTACCTATAACACAACTACGAATAAATAACAAATATCTCCCAAGACAAGCATGTTTGCAAGATATAATTTTATTTGTTTGATTTTGATACCCAAAAAATCTGAGATAATGATGTTAAAGCGGATTGAATTAATTATATCGAGAACATATTCATTGGTTTGACCCGAAAACAACTTGATCATTGGAAGTAGCTTAATGAAATTAATTAATGTTGCTCATGGCCCAATTAATTTATTGAATGACCCAACTTGGTTCCTATACCTAATTTATGCCTCTTTTCTCCTTTGTGAAGACACTGTTATTTGCAAGAGTGAAAACGTGAGGCAACCGACTTTGATTTCTCCCTTCTTTGTGCTTGAGTTTAACCAATTATTTCATTCATTTTTCTCCTCATTTATGGCTGTAATTAACCATCGAAATCGTGTCCTTTGTGGGTACGAAGAGTGACAACCGAAGGGATAGTGGATTAGAGTAATCATTTGTAGATGTTTGAGTGTTGTTTATTGTGAAACTAAGCCTAGTTTGTGCACGAATCGAAGTAATTTTGCGACATCATTGACATTTTATTCATTGATTGCATGGAGTTTAAATACAAGATAAACACATGCACTGGCGAACCCAAGGTGGGTCTTGGTGGGTCACTTGACCCACCAACTTGAAATTTCTTTTTTTTTTTTTTTTTTTTTTTTTTTTTTTTTTTTTTTATAGTTTCCTCAAAAATCAGATTTGAAGTTTTAGGAAATTATTTCTTTTGTATTTTCTTATGAAATGGAATTGAGGATTCCCTCAAGTGCTCCAAATTCTATCTTGTTTTGACGATTTTATGATAATGAATTCTTGCTATGATTTTTGTTTTTGTCTGAATTGGAATGCAGTTGATAATGTAATATTCAGAATTTGCTATGTTTTTTTGCATTCGTCACTTGAATTGATTATTTTCATTAATCATGATGGAAAAACAATTTAAACGTATATATGCTTTTTCTTTTGATAATTACAATGTTAATGAAAAGATTATTCGAGATAAAAATGATGAAAATGATGTTGAAAATAAAAAAGATTACAAACTTGGTGATATTTGAGATAAACGTAAATTTGTATTCTTGCAAGTTTAATTGTATCCCATCAATTCAAAATGTTTGCATCTGCCATTGAACACATGTACATTTAAGAAAATATAATATCCTAATAACAACCCATTATGACAACGTTAGACTAATTCAAAGACAATGGTGTTAACTAAAAGATTGAATATGAAATAAATAAATAAATAAAATAGATATGTAACATATTGTGTGTTGTAAAGGTCTATTTAGAATTAATCAAGAATTTCCCTACTATAGTACCAATAAATTTGACAACAAACCTAAACATTTAACTCGAAATATTTAATAGTCTAGATTGATTTAATTAAAACTCAATCTCAAAATGGCCAACTCAATAGACCCTGCCTACACATCCCTCTCCCAGTAACTTTTGAGAATTGGTTGTAAATTAAGCTAACTTGTTAAGCTTCAGATGCTGCAAACCTTCTCGTTTCACCAGATGAAAAACTGCGATATTTATTTCTGCAAATTTGAACACTGGAAATTTACCAATATTATAAACCCGGCTGGAACGAATTCTTTAAGTGAACCGATGATGTAGAACCCCATAATTTTTTTAACCGGAAGTAAATAAATTTAAGCTCCTATTTGGTTTAAATAAAAGTTAATTGATTCTCATTTTTTGCGACCACACATTATTCAATAAAATAATATTAAACGCAACTTCAAAATATTTCCTTATTTCTTAACCACACATTCTTCATCAATCTACTTTTCCGAAAGGCATTTTTCGAATTTAATGGAGCTCAAACAAGTCATAAATTTTGATTAAAAAAATGATAAAATGTGTGTTGAAAAATTGTGCATCCAATAAAATGTGCAGTTTAAATTACTTACTTACTTGGACTTAGATTTTAATTAATTTTTTTAATTGAATCAAACAGGGGCTAAATCTTTGTAAAAAATAAAATCAATCTTAGTTTTTCTCTCTTTCCTCAATGTATTTACTTTCTTTACTAAAAGGTTTCTTGAATTAGCTAACATGTGATGTATTCACATTTATGTTGCTAAACATAACAAGCAAGATTTTAGTATGGATTTATTAGTATGGATTTTTCAAAGGACCATTTCCGTGTTGATACTCTTTGTAGACATAAAAAAAAAAAAAAAATAATAATAATAATAATAATAAATAAATATAATGGATTGAATTGATTTAAACAATTAGCCCAATTAAATTTTAAATCTACTAAGGTACATAAAACCCAAAAGCCCATTTTCATTTTTAAATAAATAAATAAAATCATAATTACTCAATTATTCCTTTTAACTAAATATAATTGAGTGATTACCAAAATTAGCATGAATTTTATCCTATAAATTGGACTAATGGTTCATAAGACGAGAGGAGAACTGAAAGCAAAGAAAGAAGAAGTGAAAACAAAAAAGGCAATCGCGAAGCGCCAAAAAATTTACAAAGTTGGAGGAAGGGAAAAAATCCTTTCAAACCTAAATCCGATGAACCCTAAGAAGATCAAAATTTTCTTCGAATCAAACAAGTTTACGCTAAATTCAAGAAGATCAAAGTCTTCTTCAAATCAAATGAAATTCAAACTCAAGTCCAAGCTCTGAAACTCAAGTACCGGACAAGTCAAGTATCAACAAATCAAATTTTCAACAAATTCTTGAATATCAGGATGCAAGCCATGTGACCCCTCGTCTTCAAATAGTCAAATCATTAATCAGAGGAATTTTGCAATTATAAGAAGATCAAAATCACTTGTATTTCTTAAAAAAAAAAAATTCATAACAATTTCTGTATTTTAATACACAAAATACGCCGCACACTCTTCATAGGGGGAAAATGAACCTTTGGGCTATGGATGGCAAAACAACTCCTCAAATCCGATATCCCTAGGTCCCATCCCGAACAAGGCGACGATTAACCGCTTAATCGAACAATCAGGTTGGGGACGAGCGGGGAATTTTGCCCCGGGTCAGGTATGTATAACAGGGGACTTGCCTCGAGCCATTTAATTTTCATTAATTCTAATAGAAGATGACAACTAAAATTATTTAATGAACATGATAAACAATAAACACCTTAATTTACCAAATATAAAAAATGCCCCATACAGTATATGTATGGAGCATTTTTTCGAATAATTTAACTTTTGAAAATAAATTAATTAATTGAAAATTTTAATAACTATACCATTGTCTTACCTTAGTGAATGGTCAATAAAATGAATTATTGATATCTAAATCATTTTTCTAAAAAGTAAAGTGCCCCATTATCGAACGTTGATTGATCCTGTACGCAATTATACAAATAGCGTATGAATGATTAATTAATGTAAGAAACTTGTTACTATCATATGCTTTAGAAAATTATATATTGAGTTACCAAGCTTCCCTAAAGTAACGCCTGGCTAAATTGGCTAATAATAACACCAATTAAGGA